CATTTTTTTCACTTAATTGTTTATAACTTTTGTAATTTTTATCGGCGCGTCTTCGGACCTTCCCTTAAACTTTCTAGGCAAAAATACGAATCGAATGACACCTTGGTCGTAATTTTTGGACAGGGCTGAAAAATGTTACAATAAAAAGTACATGTGAAATAAACTATCAAACAAGACAGCCAAATAAATCTGTTAACATTCTGAATTCTCAAAATTTACTGAATGGCCGAATAGAATTGAATTTGTGATCTATGGCAAGTCTGATTTTCAATGTGGAAATTGGTAATCATCTCACCTAATGCCATACAATGAGTTAGTGAAATTTGAAATTTCTTCCATGATGTTTATTCATTCACTGTATCAGCGAAACATGTCGTGATATATTTTTTCAAATGAAGTTTGTGGAGATCATATGGTAGGTAAGGTGTAGTTTATGAAATTACTATGGACTTCCATCAAGTGACGGTTGAATCAATAAAAAAAAGGGATGAAAGAAGAAAGAAAAGAAAAAAATGATGTACGTAATTTCAATTATTTCATACCTGAACTTGTGTAGATTATTAGTCACTGAGAAGCCAAAGCTCATGAGATTCAAATTGTTACATAAAGCACTAATCATGTAGAATTCAGTCATCATGACCATGCCTGAGGAAACTATTGACTAGCGAAACAAGTGTTGCGTTTTTGTAAAATGATCAGTGAAAATATCACAATTGATTGTTTCTCAAATACGTTAAAGATTTTCATTATCACACCCAAATTGAACTGTCATGAGACGTATCTATTCATGGTCCTATCACGATGTGTCACTTACATCTACTATTAAAGGACTAAGAGTTTCTTTACAATTTATAGACGTTTGAGTTTCCCATCGCCATCTAATAAAAGTACACTGAAGTGGTCTCTTTCCCCCGAGAGGTAAAAGTTTTGTTTTCTTTTTGTCGTTAGCATGTGGAACGTTTTACTTTATTTGTGTTTTATTTCCTTCACGAGATTCTTGTAAATATCACACGATTATTATCATTAGAAAAACAAATCCTGTGAAGTCCTTAATCAATTAACTATCCATATAGTAAAAAAATACCATATATTAGTTTTGAAGAAAATTCTGTGATCTTTGGTATATTTTCATAGACTAGGAGCCTATCCCACTCCTAAATTCAATCTCAATAAAAAGCTAGTCACGACGGAACAGAGCTTGATGAATCCTTCAACTTAATTGTCGATTGTGAATGAATAACTTCATCTAGAAGTTGCAAAATCATTCGAGTTTTTTCATTAAACACTCATACTGTGTAATTCGTTCCAAAAGAGGAATCCTGTTGAAAATAAATATTGTCTAGTTTGAGAACAACTTTTTTTCAATCTGGTTTCTGGTTTTTCATTGAAGGACTGGAATGTTGATTGAACTTTCCACTCGTTGTGAATGTTTTTCATGTGATACAAGCGAACTTCGTGAATGTACAGTGTTATCAAACTCGAATTGGCACTATTGCTAACTTCTTAATTATTGAAGATACAAGTTAGTTTGAATCAGTGATTTTTCCGTTGATCAACATCCTGCTAACAGAAAAACAATTGAACGTCGCGTTTTCTATTCATTCAAAAAAATGTATTTTATTTTTTGATGCGGCACCCTGTATATTCCTACCTTTATCGAGTGCAAACTCTTTTCTGAATTACAAAGGTGATTATGAATGTCATCCTTGGACAAAAAATTACGGATTTATGTGCTTTTTCCACTTTTCGTCAAGTTTGGCAGAAAACTTAAAATCATAAAAGAATAATATCAGGTTGTTTTGTCCGTTTTCATGAGTCTACTTTGAACTGTAATATATCAGTGGATACTAATTCTATTCAATCCAAATAAGCGCCATTTGAATCACTGCGGTAAGATCCAAAGTTAGTGGACCCGTAAGGGTTTATTGTGGCTCACACCTATTCCCACTCTACCAAATTGACTCAGCTTCTTGAGGAAGCCGATTAGTTTGTATAGTGAGTGGTCTATAACAGGGGTCTCCGAACTTTGAAGCCTTCGGGCCATAATGATTTTTTCAGTTTGTTCCAAGAGCCAATTTCTGCCCTTAATTATATTTCTAGACTAGGATAGTCGCAAAGTGCGTGACCTAAGCAAACTTACGCTTTTTTGCATTTCAATTATTATTGTGTATTGTGATACTTAACGACATCTAGTGGCGAGTAGCGGTACTATGTACTATCTTTTTCAGCTACCCGCTAGGTAGCACTAGGCGTGATTAAATATTTGGAATTACCGCGTTGGTTCGAGAAAGTTCTGGTTCTAGCTAGTGTATTCCGATCACCTCGAGATGGCGGTAATAATTGCATATAAAAAGGCTAGCGGCGCAACTGCGAGTTAGTCTGCGTAGGAAAGGCGAAGGAAGCGAAACTGTCTATTGTGAAATAAAGTAACACTCGTCAATAAAAGTATTTTGAATTGACTTATTGTTTTAATATGTGATTTGTTAGTATGGAAAAGAAGCGAAAAATCGACAGTGAATAAAAATGGAACTTTCAGTATTTTGTGATTGAGTCCAGTAATAAGGCGCTATGTTTATTTTTTTATGAAACCATAGCTGTTCTCAAGGACTATAACATTAAACGGCATTATGAATCGAAACATCTTCAAAGTTACTCCAAGTATACAGGAAGTTTGCGGAAGGAAAAATTTGAAGCTTTGAAACACGGACTCAAATCGCAGCAATCTTTGTTTACCAAAGCGAATACTGAACAAGAGTCTGCAACTCGCGCCAGCTTTCGTGTGGCTCTTGATATGAGTGGTTTTCTCTAGCATTGGATGAGTTAACGGATGTGTCAGATACTGCTCAGGTGTTGATTTTTATTCGCGGAGTAGATAAAAGCTATGAATCGTATGAAGAATTTCTTGATATTGATAGTATTCACGGCACGACAACTGGGGCAGATATTTTCAAGGGAGTTGAAAATGCCATTAATAAAAAGAATATTCGATGGAGAAATTTGAAATCTATAACAACTGATGGAGGCAAAAATATGTATGTTAAAAATGAAGTAGTGGTTGCACTTGTGTCAAAGGCTGTAGAAAATGATGGTGGTTCAAAACCATTAGCCTTATATTGTATCATTCATCAACAGTCCTTGTGCGGAAAATGTTTGGATATGTCTGAAGTTCTAAAACCAGTCATATCAGTTGTTAACTTCATCAGATCCACTGGGCTGAATCACCGACAATTCCGCGAGTTTATTCAACAGATTGGAGAAAATGATTTACCATATCATACTGCCGTACGCTGGCTTAGTTGCGGAAAAGTCCTAAGCGCTTTTTTGAACTTCGAGCAGAGATCAAAATTTTTTTAAATGAGAAGAAGCGCCCTCTTGCCGATTCAGAAAATAGTGAATGGATGTGGAAGTTAGCCTTCTATGTCGATTTGACAAATCATATGAACGAAATGAATTTGAGATTGCAAGGAGAAAATCAGCTTCTCCCTGATTTATACACCAATATCAAATTCTTCAGGCAGAAAATAATACTATTTCAATTGCAATTACGTAAAGAATGTTTTACACATTTTGAAACATGTGAAATATTCAGTCACACTACAGAGACTGAATTTCCCGTCAATTTTACCCATGCAGGACTTTCTCGTCTCTGGCTTTGGTGAATCATCACTCGAGCGCAAACGTTTGCTTACCTGCTCATGGGGGGTTTTTTCCTCCACCTGAGATAGAGTGCGTACGCTGCTCAAGAATTTGGTGCAAGGCGGTTTCATAAGGTACTCCGCTCTTGAAGAGACGATTTAGTCGTTTCCTGCCTGCACCAACAAACCTTTACCTAAGGTTCAGTTGTTGGATTAGGAGTTGGAGAGTTGAGAAGCTCTCGCCCCTGATTTAAATCTATAGGGACTTCAGTTGGAGTCGTGAACTCAACATCCATCTCCTCTGTAGACTCAGCCACAGAGAGAATTCGCTCAACCTCCACATCTCAAGCTAATGCACTCGCCAAAAACAGCATGCACAGGGGTTCAGGCAGTGAAAGATGAACAAGGACAGCCAGCCAACCCGCCTCATTCTGGAGTACTGTAGGCTAAAATCTCTGGAAGGAAATTTCGCAAGTTAACGTCAAACAGTGCGTTAACTTCAGTAATGATGATTCTTCCTCTCATACGCCGTCTATTCGAAAAATAAGGTGAATGCTCAAATTTTGCCGGCTGCGTGAATTCCGTTAGCGGTTTTTCATTCCTTTATGTTTGCTTGTTTAAGCTGTTTCGTTGAGTAACAAGGGTTTTGGGTGTTCGGCGATTTTCTGCTATCGAAAAAAATGAATCTGGATCAGTTGCCTGAATGTTGTCAGTTCCTAATTTTGAAATTTAATGAGTTGAAAATTTTTTTCACTTGAAGTTCAAAGTTGACGTGTACTGCGCAAGCCAAGGTATCCATTTCAGGACGTACTTTGAACCCTCTGGGAAAATTATAATTATTGTTCATACATTTGAATTGAAGGGGTTATATTTTTGGAAATGATTGATTTTTGGGAAAGAAAGTTTTTGGCTTTTTACTACTCCATCTTGATACCAAAAAAAATGGATGAGGGAATCTTCCAAAGAAAGGAAGGAAGTAATCAATTTGAAAATGAGTAACTCTATAAATGAATGTGTAGATCATGCAAAGAAGTGACTTCCAGACACAAACTGAAAGAAAGTCCTCCTGAAACAGCTACTTTCATATAAACATTGAATTACACGAAAGAAAAAAATTCTTTCGGAACAAATACTTCTATGTGAACACTTAATTATACAGAAGATACTTTTCTCTACTCAGTTTGTATTTCAAATATTCGTTGTGGCATGAAAGTCAGATATTATTCAAATGAGTTTTACTTTGAATGAATGGTAATAAATTGCACTTACATGGACCACTGTCACCCTCACTGGTATACACCGATGTTTTGCCTTAAGACACTTGCCCCAAGGCTCTCCAGTACCAAATTGGATAACATTATAGAAAATACACGCAATTCATTTATGAATTACGATTTTTTATTGTCACGGAATAAGATTGATCTGCTTATGTCATCGATGACATCGTAATGACATTCATTCACCTATTTGATTTAATCCCAGCCAAGATTTTTGCATGTGACATTTGATTTTTTTTCAAGACTCATCTACATGCTATTCCGAATCGAATGACAGTTGTTCACAAGCACAGCTCGACCTAAATGGAACTTATGAATCAGACTCTCAGGGAGTGCACAATGTTTAGATCTCATAAACTCGCGGCGTTTGACAAAACTCCACACCAGTGGTACTGGGAAGGGTAGTGAATACAAAGTTTGAACAGTTCTGCCACCGTAGAACAAACTTGGGTTGAAATCGTCAACTTGGCAACAGAACGCTCTCGTTTATCTGTGAATGTAGTTGTTTGCGTTTTCTTCAATACCATGAATAACGTTTTCACCTTATTGGAAGTGTTGAATGATGTATCTCACGTTCTTACTAATTCCATATTCATTCTGTATAATATCATTTTGTTGAAACTGTTTTGATGGGCATTCAATTCTCTAACCTTACACATAAGCATGCATTTTTTCAAAATCAACACATATGCACAATGCACAATGGAATTTGTTTGCACTTCTAGCACTCTGCAATTTTCTCCTGTTCACGTTTCTGTATAGAGTGTGCAAGAAGTTTTGACATGCACGCCCTGGAAACGAGAATAGCTCTCTTAAAGTTGCAAATTCTGAATAAATTCACGAATCAAAACCAAAAGGAATGTGAAATGAGCATGTGAAGTCATGATATTGATTCTCATTTCCTTTAAATTTCCTGTTGATTGAATGACACTCTTATATCAACGTATAGCTCAAGCTACTGAACCTAAAATCTTGAAATGTGCAGGTAGGTTCTTTGTTGAGCGAAAATGAGCATCAAGAGAGGGAATCAGGAATTTTCACTCCCAAATGGAGTGAAATGGAGTAGCTTCAGCTATACGTTTTAACGTATGGCTGAAGCTACTGAACCTAAAATCTTGAAATGTGCAGGTAGGTTCTTTGTAGAGCGGAAATGAGCATCAAGGGAGGGAATCAGGAATTTTCACTCCCAAATGGAGTGAAATGGAGTAGCTTCAGCTATACGTTTTAACGTATAGCTGAAGCTACTGATCCCTCTTACTATTGTCCAATATTACTTATTCCGACTCTAACAAAAATAATTGAGAAACTAGTGAAAAAAAAGGCTCAATTGATTCCTCATTGATCATAAAATCATCAAAAAAAAATCAATTAGGATTTCAGGCTAAAAAGATGTAAATGCCGGAGATGTAGCTGCAGCAGTATTTTGTGACCTAAAAATGGCTTTTGACTGTGTAGACTACAAAATATTTTTAGGGGAAACTACATTGCTACGGCTGTGAGGGAGTTACTTTGGAATGGTTCGAATCCTACGTAACTGGGCGCAGTCAAGTCGTAAAAAGTGATATAACTTCAAAATATATCAATATTGATTATGGAGTGCCACAAGGATCGGTTTTGGGACCCACTCTTCTTGTATATATCAATGATTCAATGTGTATAAAATCTTCTGGAAAAATTACTTTATTTGCTGACGACACCACCATTTTATGGCATAGTAAAACTGTTGAAGATCTGAATAATAAGATAATCAGAGATATTAATGTAATCAAGTCTTGGTGGGACTCGAATCTTCTCTCTTTTAATATAGAAAAACAAATATAATAACTTTCAAATGCACTTTAGAAAATATGCCTCTAGAAAATGAGAAGATCGAAAATAAATATTGCACATTTTTGGGCCTATATATTGACAGTAAATTAAAGTTTGAAGTACACGTCAACCAATTGAAGAATAAAATCTTCTCAGGGTGCTATGCAATGAGAATTATTTCAAAGGAACTTGGTACTGCCACGGCTATGAACGCATATTAGGCATTAATTGAATCTCAACTGAGGTATATGCCATTCCTTTCTGGGGGGTATGTAACTCTAGTCTGCTAGATTTAGTACCTAAACTGCAAAAGAGAGCCATTAGAAATGTGTTCAAACTAGGACCTCGCAATTCATGTAGGCAGTTATTTGCAGAAAAAAAATATATTGACAGTTGTGGCTCTCTTTGTAAAGGAAAGTGCGTGTCTTATACACACACACATAGGTCAAAATTTGAATATATTTCTTCGTGTCATAGCACTCGCCTAAAATCTAAAAATAATTTTAAATTACCATTGCCTTCTTCATCCTTAGTGAAGGACTCAATTTTCTATAACAGTGTTCAAATGTATAATCACTTACCGTCTCATTTCAGAAATAGCCACGATAGTATTGACAGCTTTAGAAAATACACAAAAAAACTTCTCGCGAACAGACCCTATTATAGTTTGCAAGAATTCTACAATGACAACTTCCAGTGAAATTGTGAACTGTCATCTGTAATTTATTGCGAGTACTGTATAGCATACTAGATTAGACTGTTAAATTATAAGTCGTAAAATTGACAAAATGTTCAAATAACATTTTATGATTGATATTTTATTTATTCATTGACACTTATTCTATTGAATGAAATGTATAATTGATAAATGTATATGTTTATATACTGCTTGTTCATATAACAATTTTATTTTCATTTTCATTCTATTTTATTTATATTCTACATAATTGTGTGTATTTTGCCTAAATTTTATTTTTGTACGTATATATTCTACTTTGTCAACAAAACAAGACTTTTTCGACAATAAAGTATATTTTGATTGATTGATTGATGACAAAGTTATCTGTGTCCGGAATTATAAAAAAGTGACATGTCCCTTCGCGTTAGTTTCAATACTACAAATGAAAAATATTAAAAACAAATCATCAACTCCAAAGAACTGACTGTCATTATGCATCTATATATCACAATATTCAATATTTTTACTTTCTGTAGGGAATTCGAACATACCAAATAAAATACTAAAAGTAATAAATTTTTCCACAGAAAGGACCGACCGACTTCCCCAACAGAACTCACCAATGGTTCTGGCATCGAATACACCAACACTTCAACCCACCGCAGCGTTTCGGTTACTCCAACTTCAGGATTCAGGGAATCAGAAAATTATCAATATAGTCCAAAGAGTCCAAGCTACAACGGTTCTTCGTCACCAACAGTTTACTATGGAACTTCCAGAAGGAGTTCCGTGAATTCCAATAATGAGTCGCCGCATGAAGTTTCTGCAGCCAATGTCAAGTTTGTTAGAGACACTTCCAAATATTGGTATAAGCCTTCCATATCAAGAGAACAAGGTATGTTTTTACGTTACGTTTTTACAGTGTGCACGTAGATAATCCTTCTCCTCTTCATAAATAGCCCCCTTACGATGTATGCGGATGAATGCGACAACTGGTTAACGGAAAAACAGATTTTTCAAACATATTTTCGTGTTTGTATTAAGACATTCAGTAGATTGATCAAAAATTTTCAGCCTCATTTGTTTATGAAGTGTTTATAAACAAATAGACTATGTGGGTATTTGAAAAAAATAGAATTTTTGTTTCCTCAACAATTTTCAATTGTTCATGATCGTTCGTAATGAATTATTCATTATTATTTGGCTATTTTTGTGATAATTTTATTCAAAATTGATTTGATCCGCAAATTATTCTTATAAATCATTTTATTATTTTTAAAAATAGTGTGAGGTTCAAATAGTAATGATTAGTATAATTTCAAGTTTCGCAGGTACCAGAATTGTCCATACATATCGTACAAGTTTCAACAATTTACAAGAGAAAATTTGAAAAAAAAAATGCAAGAAAATAAATTTCATCAGTTCGGACTTCCATTGTCTAATACAATATAAATTGATTTGAAATCCCTGAAAAAAATAAAAAGATTAACCGAAAATAACAATTTTTATAAAACAAAAAACTGAAATTACAAGGAAATATCATACAAAGCTTGTAATTTCAGTTTTTCCTTTCAATAAAATCGTTATTTTCGGTTAATCTTTTTATTTTTTGCAGGGATTTCAAATCAATTTATATTATGATGAATTTCACTAGTTCGAGCTTGCATTATCTATTATCATCAAGACCCTATTAGACCGTGCTTTTGGGCTCTGTAATACAAAGGAAGGTCTCGAGAAGGAACTAGACATTATCAAAAATGATCTTCAACGGAATGGCTACTCCGAAGCGATGGTAGAAAAGACTTTGGCTAGAAGACAGCAGGAGCATCGCAAGGAAGAGAAGCCGTCACAACCAGTGCTTGCACTTCCCTACATCAGAGGATTATCGGAGAGGATAAGGAGAATTGGTTCCAAGTACAACATCAGAACCTGCTTCAGATCCGGTAACACTATCTGTAGCAGCCTCACGAAAACCAGCCCACCAAACGCGGACTGCGATTCCAAGAATTGCATTTACCGGATACCCTGTGAGTGCGGAAAATCCTATATTGGTGAAACTAAGAGGCCATTGAATGTTCGCATTGCCGAGCACAAGAAACACACACAGCGAGGGAAACCAGCAAATCAGGAATAGCAGACCATGTTTGGACCCATCAACACAACATCGAGTGGTCCCAAGCTGAGATCTTACACAGCGTAGAAATACGCAACATATGGAAACCCATTATCAAGTGAAAAATGGCCAACTCCCGCCAAAACGGTCATCTCCAACGGAACCAGTGAAGCGGAAAATGGAAAGCGGGGATAAGTGAAAGTACTCGAACGACCTATAAATAGTCATCTCTCGGAGGAATCAGTCCAGTCATCACCCGAAGACGATTGTAGATACTAACAATCGAAACGTCGTGAACTAACGTGACTTGGAATCTCTCCATTTTTTTATTTTTTCTTTCTTTTTTATTTCTTTATTTTTATTTATTCAATTGTTCTATTTTTACTTGTATTTTATTTCACTATCATTTCATTTCAGGTTTATTTTGGTTAATATAATTGTTATTTTCAGCTACTAATTTTCAATTCTTCTTTTTTAGTTGTTTCAGGGATTTCAAATTATTTTATATAGTAGACAATGAAAGTTCGAACTGATGAAATACACCACGAAACATTGTCAACCACCTTCAAACAGAAAATAAATTATTAGATGAAAAACCAAATTATTTTTGAATAAACAATTGTATTGGTTGCAGACTGAATAATTAAACAATATTTCTTTGAGTATATTATCATTGTTTATCATGCTAGAAGTAAAAACAGCGAAAAACTCAAAAACTGCCTGTTATAATAATAATAGTTACACATGTTTTGAAAATTTCATTTGAAAGATCCGTAAATTCTGATTAGTGACTTTCTGTGTTATATACTTAATTTTTCATTCCTCTTTTAAATTTCTACGTATATTTATATGCTATATATACTTTGTCTTAGCATTAACTTTCATACATTTCTATATTCCAATAATTTTAATATTTATTCATATACAGTGTATGGAATAAATTCATTTTTAGCGTTATTATGTACTATGTGAAAAAAACTTCAGGTTTTTTTCTCATAGTACGATTTTTATTCTCAAATTTACAATTTACAGTATGAAAATATTATCCCCCTGCATCACCTTGTCTGAATTATAAGCACCCCCTCGAAAATTCTAAATAGCAAAGGGGGTCGTGTGGCACCTTGTTGGAAAGGGATTTTAGTCCTCTGTTCAGCAATATAAAGTTTTTTGAGTTTGGTGCAATCATAACTGAGAAAATTGATTTTTAGGATGTAGCATTTTGATAATGTCTCTAGGTATCACAAAACTTTACGTAGAATCAAGATAATAATGCCACATAATATTTAGACTTAATTTTTCAATGTACTTTACATTTAAATTAAATGTTCAAAATGACCACCATTAACTTCTTGACAATAACCGAGGCGATTTTGGAATTCCTATACATTTTGTATGATCTCAGGGGTTATTTTGTTAATTTCTTCCGTTATCCTAACTTTTAAATCAGCAATATTGTTTGGTCCATTCGATCGTTCCACGTCTTCCAATCCACCTATTGGGAAAAACCTCGTTTAAATAATTTCTAACTGTACGTGCAAAATGCGGTGGAGCTCCATCTTGTTGGTAGTAAATAGTTCAATCTTTCTCATTTGGATGATTAACATCAGGAAAATGTATTTGTTATGTAGGCACTAAAAACCTCACCATTAACAGTGCCTTCAAGAAAATAAAGGCCAATAATTTTTTTTGTTAATGATACCAGCCCAAACGGTAATTTTTTTAGGATATTGAGTGTGAGTCGCACACATCCAGTGAGGATTTTCTCTGCTCCAATATCTACAGTTCTGTCTGTTAACTGTTCCGTTCAAATAAAACGTCGCTTTATCAGAAAACACTATTTTGTTCATGAACTGCAAATCTGCGTTCATTCTGTCCATCATCAATACACAGAATTTTTGTTTTCTATCAGGATCATCTTCATTCAACTCCTGAACCAACTGAACTTCGTAAGAGTGGTATTTTTCTTTATGAAAAACTCTCCAAATAGATGATTTACTTACATTATTATCGGCGGCAAGTTCTCGAGTTGTCTTATGTGGATTTTCCTCAATCTCTACAATTACATCTAACTTTTTTCATCAGTGAATTGAACATTTCTACCTGGTTTTCCAATATTTTTTACATGTCCAGTTTCACGAAACTTTTTTTCAATTTTGCTAACTGTAGACTGCGACACGTGTTGACCAGGGTATTTATTATTAAAAATTTCACAAACCTCCTTTTGAGTTCTTGTTTTATCACCACAACCAATCTATTCTTTGAGTCTCGGAAAAATGAGCCATAATTAAATTTAATACGCCCACAAATATTATACTGACGTCTTTTAGTAACTTCAACTACCTAAATGACAGCAGCCTACTAGATTCCTTTCAATTGTTTATTTGGCTTTTTGTCTTATATTTTAGTATATTCAAAGATTTTTTCCAGGATTCTAGGTTAGTAAGGAGCGTGTTACAGGGATGGTCTGTTTAATAGATCAGGTTATTGTTAAGAAGTGAATAATGGTGGTCATTTTGAACATTTAATTTAATTGTAAAAATTAATTTTCTCAGTTATGATTGCACCAAACTTAAAAAACTTCATATTGATGAACAGAGGATTGAAATCACTTTCCAACAAGGTGCCACACGACCCCCTTTGCTATTTAAAATTTTCGAGAGGGTGCTTATAATTCAGAAGGGGTGCTAGAAGGGAAGAATATTTTCATACTGTAAATTATCAATTTAAGAATAAAAATCGATCTGTTTCAGGTTTTTTTTCATATAGTGCATAATAACGCTAAAAATGAATTTATTCCTTACATATGGACCGCACTGTATACACAGTAAACATAAATATTTCAAAGTGCAAAGAGCAAGAAATCTTGCTCTTCTATATTCATGAAGGAATATTTTTTTGAACTGAGAAACATATTCTCTCAAGTTGAATTTGAATCATTATTTCAAATGGACTGAATAAACGCTTCTTTTAAGTAAAAAAAAAAATCCACCAAGATTGTGCATACATTTCAATAGAAATCATCACATTAGCTCAAGAGAAGTAAATATGCATTCTTTAGTCTGAGCAAAATTAATCTCGAAGCAAAACTGTTTTGGGTTTTGAAAGAATGATATGTTTACTTGGAACATTATTTAAATGTCTTTTTCATTGAAACGCTTCTATTTGTACAAATCAATTAAACTCATTTACTTCATCAAAGATGAACGTATGCTTCTGTTTATAAACTGTCCCTCCCATTTGGATGTATTTAGTTACTTGAATCCAAAGTATCTCATCTGTAATATGAACAGCTATGAGTGGTAAGGAAAAAAACTGAATAATACATTACATATTATGATTGGTTTACTTGGAGCAAATGCAAATCATAAATATTATCCTGAAAAAGCATGCGATAGAAAACAAATCGTAATAGAGAACTAAATTTTCTTTGGTAATCTTTGCTTAAATATCATATTCCAACCGCACACTTTTGAGAGATCATACAGTTATACAAATAACATAAATAAATATTCAATAAGAAAACATATATAAAAAAGGGACATATTCTTGACAAATTGCAAACCAACAAATAAAATGAAATCGAAGCCTATAAACAACATTACAACTCAGACAAAAAAATTAATTAATTTATTAGTAATTTTACACAAACGAAGTTTTTAAAACTAGATGCCACTTTGGTAAATAACATTAAAGAAATCACTGTCGTCGATCAAGTTCTGCATTCTGCTTTTGTTCATCCACAATTGCCGGAACATCACTTGGATTCTAAAACAAAAGAAATCAGCACATCATCCTTAGCCACTATTTCAAATATATAGAAAGATAAAAATATAAAAACAGCAGCTACTTAATAAAAAAAAAATGTTTTTTTTCAATAAAACCCTGTTTAAGTTGATTTATTCCGTTAACCAATCCAATTGTTGTTCACATGCGAATGACAACCCTCAAAATTTTAAACTTGTCTGAGGTCTTATTATTTAACATACGATTCCTAGCAAGTTGAAAGGTGCTTAAACATTATTTGATCAGAAATAAATAATCAATTCAAATAACGTACCTCAAATACCTTTGAAGAGAACATAAGTCTATACAGAAAAATTGCCTAAAGGCAATCTATCAAATAATTTCAAGCTGAGTAGGATATATTCAGTTTGTTCCCAATGAATAACATAAAAACATTTCTGAAGTGATTACAGAAAGCGAAGACGTTTCGGAATTCAACAAATATTTACATGTTGAAATCAGAAAGTGACTGTCACATATAGAAGCCTTTTATACCTACTGGTGCCTATTTTGGTATTTTTTGTATTATAATTTATTGTCGAAACTATAAGTACCTCTATCTTTCAATAAAAAGTGAATTTGGTCTAAGAGAAAATAAAATATTATTTAGAGAAAATGCTCTTATTTGAAACAAGATAAAATGTATGTTCAAAACAAGAGATTGGCAAATTTGCATCAACGTGGAGTATTTTTCAGTTCAAATTAATATACACTTGCAGAGCTCGGCAAATGTAATAATGCATGTGTGAAAAATTACGGAGCATTGGTATAATTTTCGCAAAATGAAGGCAAAATTAAGAGTTGCCGTCAAAGTTTACCACTTTCTCTTCGGCACTACGTATACAACGCGGTACTTACTGATATAGCGGAGTTTTATCCAATTATAATACTTACCCATGAAAATATCTTTCAACTGTGCAAGACCCCAGTCTTGTAAAATCTGTTCCATTATGGTAGATACAAGATAATCGGAAAGAAAGTGCACTGCCTACAGACACATAAAACACTTCCTCCTCAAAATCGTAACACACCAACATCACTTTCCAACACATACTGGCGCGTACGCGATGCTTACAACGAAATTCTCCGCTCCCCTCTCACTTGAGAGGGTCATAGAAAGACCAGAGCACCACAGGTTTTTTCAAACTGAAATGAATGAAATACTTCTTTAAAAGAAACCCTGTTCATTCTATTATGCTTTAGGTAAAGTATATATTAAACATCTATGAACAATATTTTTGTTGCAGTTGGGAATTCTTAAGTGATGGTTTGTAGTACTTCTGGTTGTATAGTTATGTGAAGGATGGTTTTGATATTGCTTGTATTTGTAGGCATATATACATAGGCTATGAAAATATAGAGATCTTATGTCACCAACGTCTTCGTTATAAAGTACTGTTGTCTGATAACGTTTCGTTTTCCTATATATTATTTTTAATATATAATTTTGAATGACATTTAGTTTTTGTAGATCATTTTTGTACATTCCTCCTCATACTGGAATACCATAACGAAAGAGTGATTCGGACAGTGATTTGTAAATTGATAAAAGGAGATTTTTAAAGAGGATATCTCGTAGTTGATAAAATTTATATATAAGCTTCCTCACTTTATTTGTTAGATAGTCAATATGGTTACTCCATTTTAAGTTTTTATCTATTATAACCCCTAAGTACTTGATTTCTTTCAACTCTGTGATTTCCTCCTTGATGTTCTTAATTTTTATACTACCGAAGGAGGGTCTATTAACATCTGTTGTTGAGAATGCAATATAGTGTGTTTTCTTGACATTCAGGGATAATTGGTACTAATTCAACCAGTTTTTGGCAATTTCCATATCTCTTTGCAGAAAATCCTTTGTCTCAGTCCATGTATTGCCATTAAACAACATCCGCATACGATATTACTTTTGCATTTGTTGATGAAGATAAGAATGCGTTGATATATGTTAAAAAGAAAATTGGTTCAAGTACTGTGCCCTGAGGCACTCCTATTTCATCGTTCTTGGATCACTTAAGGTGTCATTCAGTTTAACTATTTGTGTTCTATCTGAGAGATAACTGCGAAAGACGTTCAATACTGTCCCTTGTACTCCATAACATTCCAGTATATGGAGGAGCTTTTCATGATTCACGGTATCAAATGCTTTCGCTAAGTCAAGAAACACTGCGATACATTTCTTATTAGCATCTAATTTTTCAGTTACTTCTGTTATGACCTAGCACATTGCATCAGTGGTAGACTTACCATTTCTAAATCCAAACTGCTGTCGGTGGATTATATCGTTTGAGTGTAGAAAGTGTATTAACCGATCTTCCAAACATTTTTCAAATAATTTTCCAAAATTATTGATAACACTGATGGTCAACAAACATCATGACATCAAACGAGTGATGTCGTTGAAAGGCCAATAAATTTGATTTCTTTGTTGAAGCTAGTGTGATTTTCTGGGGGAACATGGCGATGTTGGCATAAAGTAATAGTTTTTCCAATAGACATAAACATTTCAAAGCAACCTATGATCTTCTTTTTAAGAAATACTTTTTACTGTTTACTCTGTGATAATATCATTTCCAGTAACTGGGTACTCCTTTTGGAAATACAATGCTCTTTTTCATATTTCATATAATTTATATCTGTTCATTGATTTCAGCTATTTCAATGTTGAGAGACCAGGCTCCAGGTACTTTCGTGGTACGAGACTCCAACTCATTTCCAGGAGCATTCGGACTGGCTCTGCGTGTCGCAACGGTGCCCTCGAATGTTCAAAACAAATCAAGCGGCGGTGACGAACTCATCCGACATTACTTGATCGAACCAACCAACAGAGGAGTGAGACTGAAACAATGTCAAAACGAACCCGTCTTCAGTTCACTGTCTGCTCTAATCTACCAGCATTCGATCACCCAAATGGCTCTACCTTGCCGACTCATTCTTCCGCAAGATGATTTGAAAATGAATGAGAGGGTCACTTCCCAAACCCAATCCCAGTCACTGTTCACGCAAGGAGCCGCTTGTAACGTTTTATATCTCACGACTGTCGATATGGAATCCCTGACTGGGCCACAAGCAATCAAGAAAGCAGTGATGCAGCTATTCCAGAAATCTCCTTTGCCAGACACAGCGACGGTTCATTTCAAAGTCAGCGATCAAGGCGTCACGTTGACGGACAACAAGAGGAAACTTTTTTTCAGGCGACACTATCCAATTAACACTGTTTCTTATTGTGGACTGGATGATGATCAGCATCGGTGGCTTGTGAATGAAGAAGAGAATGGTTCTTCCAAGAGTTCGAAGTAAGTTTATTGAATTGATTCCGTACCAAAAACTAAGTACCTATTTGGGGAAATGTTCTAAATACAATGTTGAAATTATTGAGGAGTTTACAAAATGAAGCCATGGAATACATTTTCCATATACCTTCCTTAGAACCATCTTATGAAAAAAAACTTCTTACTATCGCATCAATGGAACAAATAATTGTATATGATCATCAAACAAGATATTGTCTTTCAAACATGTTCTTATTCAAATTCAAATTTATTGTATCCATATCCTAATAACAAAAAATAAATCGATTAGTCCAAGTTCACAAATTGAATTGTGTCTGATTCTCAAAATTCTCAAAATAATTCTCAAAATAATAATATGTTTCCCAAAATAAAATACAATAATATAATAATTGTGCACTTTCATTTAGAGATATTTCGAATAAACAAGTATCCACTAAGGCAGTGCCTGTGCGTGGGTGATGTACTTATTCCAAACATTGACAATAATCAGTACACTTTAAAATCGGGTTCGGTTGCATTTCTATAAAAGAATTATATGTATAAAATTATGTATAATTCACTTAAATGTTGTAACATAATAAAATTAAAGTGAATGTGATGAAATTAGGCTAATGAGCCTTACATAAAATTATTGAAACATAAATATCATAACATAGGTAACGAACACAAATAATCAACAAGAATAAAATATATTGAATATTCAAATACTCAAACAATGAATGGACAGGCTCACGTTCCAAAGAAAGAATATAATGTTTAGTCTTTTTTTTGAAGGAATATATGTTTGAGAATTCTTTGTTTTCCGTAGCCGAAAAGTTATAAAATTTACTGGATGAAAAAGTATGATTTCTCTGTCCTATTCTCTTTCTGGCTGGTTTCATTTTCAGAGAGTTATTCTCTTTCAGACGAGTTTGGTAGTTATGGCTGAGATTAGTGGGAGATTAAATCTGTTTCTGAATTGTCTCATCACAATTTTATAGTAATAGTGCTGACGCGAATCAAAGACTTCCGTTTCTGCAAATAGTAAGTCGGAGGAATACCTAATTGGTTTGGAAGCTATAATTTTCAAAAATCTTTTTTGTACTACTTCAAGATTCTGCAAGTGAGCATTTGTTGCTGCCCCCCAAGCTAGAATACCGTAAATAAGTCGTGTTTCCACTGATGATTGATAAAGAATTTTGAGATACTTGAAATCCAGCATTTGCTGAAAGTATTTGAACCTATATAGGAGAGAACGTAGAGTTTTACAGACTTGCACCAGGTGTTTACCCCACCTAAGATGACAATCCACTATTATGCCCAGATATTTCGCATTATTGGCTCTTTTAATCGTAATAGTTCAATCCGAGCTTATAATAACACAACACAACAAAAAAATATTTTTTGAATGTTTCCTACACTAAATTAGTCAATTTCTACTAATTTTGGGGTGATAAAAACGAAAATAACAATGAAAAATTTTTATTAGCTCTGGTTTTTGANTTTAAAAATCAACTTCACACGATAATTTCAATAGCAACCACGTGCGTACAATTGACAAACTCACATAGGTTATGTTTACTACTTAAGAACAGCTGATGAGAGGGGTGTTATGTAAACAAACATGTGTACCAACTGTTGGTGATGAAATATTTCATTTGTTGAAAACTCAATATACATATATATAATATAATGATACTATATCTTGAAAACAAGAGCTAATATATAATTTTTATGGTCACTTTCGGTTTTAACACGTGGAAATACATTAAAATCATCTAATTTCAACCCCGAAACAAAAACTTTGTTGTGTTTTGTAACTTATCGTAGTCCGGGAGGTCACTGACGTAACAAGAAAATGGAACGAAACAGGTTTTTCCATAGTTTATTAAAAGTAATTTTTGTCCAAAATATTTAATTAAATTCGCCATATCTTCTTCTGCTTTTTATTTCTGATGAATATGTACAATTAAAATGACAAACAAATCAAATCAAATCAAAATGTACTTCATTCTCGGAGATGAAATCTCATTGACAAAGTGTTACTATTCTAAGAAATATAAGATACACAACTTAAAAGATATTGTCGAAGATAAAATATTATTGTCAAAGTTAGGTTTTTTTTTCCAATATTCATCACTCAGAATATTTGAAATTATAAAGTTGTGCCAAGTCCAATTGTATTTTTTTTTATCAAATATTCTACGATGGTAACTCTCTCAAACGATATATCTGAAGTCGACATGTGATATACAGGGTATGAAAAACCGCTTGCCAAATATTATTGATCCATAAAGAGCGTCAACGAAACCTCTACAAATTTCATTGAGTATTTCCTATGACTAGGTTCAATAGTTTTTCTTAAAAAAGCATTTTTTTCGAAAAATGGTCGTTCTTCCTATTTCTACGCCATAAACTCGATGAAAGACTTTTTTCAAAGCGTAATCCATTTGACGACTGATAAGAATGTACGAAAGATATCTTGTTTTAATTTTGAACATTATAGCGTGTCCAAACAAATATTTTTTAACGAAATAAATGTTTGTACCTATCACATTTTTCTAAATGGAAAATTATTTTTTTCATTGGATTCAGATTTTTTCCCATAAATCGTGCAATATCAAACCAAACAAGATTAAATGAAAAAACATTGTGAATATTACTTATTTTTTTTCATGTTATGTTGTATATTCATGAATTATTCAGGGCTTAAGTTCTAGATATTTAAATTTGTCAACTGATACACTACAAAATTAAAAAAGAAAGAGTTTAATGAAGGTTGATAATGAAACTTTTATAAAATATGTTCGACATGTCTTCCATTTTCTATGTTTGAAAGACTGTTCTATCCTGCTCAAGACAGCTGCCAAAAGTATTCGTTATTCCAAGTTGCATATTTTGGGAAGAAGTTGGTGGCTTGGTGTCTCGACGTAAACCATATTTTTTATGTATCCTCATAAGAAAACATACAGTTTTGTTAAATCTGGTGATCTAGCGGGCCAACGTACAGGCCCATTCCGTCCTATACATTTATTGGGAAATACTTCATTCAGATGATCTCTCACTTCTGCCGAATAGTGAGTAGGTGCACATACATTGTTCCATTGATATGTACCTGAAAAAAGTATGGACCAATATTCTCCAATGATGCCTCCCCAGACATTTATCGACCACCTATATTGATAGTCCACCTGTCTCAATAAATGGGGATTTTCTGTCGAATAATAATGGTAATTATGTCGATTCACAAATCCATTTTTATGGAATGTCGATTCATCCGACCATAAAATGTTATTGAAAAAATATTGGTCATTACTTTCTCTATCGGTTTAGAAAAATGCTTAGTAAAGCGATTGGTCTATAACTCTCAATATTACTTGGATCGCCTTCTTTGAAAATAACAATTATGGAGGCTAATTTGAGGCTGTCCCTGCAATACAGACAGATTGATGATATGCTCGAAAAATGGTGCAATCATTTCACTGGTGTTCTTAATCACTAAAATCGGAATTTCGTCTGGATCTGGGTCTTCCAACGGGGACTTTCGAATTTTGACAATTGTTAACGGCCATTTTATCTGTTGAATTAGTTGTCGTTTGTTCAGTCTGTTTTGCCAAATCACCTCGGACGGATGTATCATTCAACAACAGGTGCAAATAATAAAATGGTTTAATTAAAATGGGTGTTCTGTTGGGGCAACGTACCGCGCGCATCGTCCATTTCCGATGGCCATAATCGAGAGCCAAGAGGCTGCTTCGTAATTTGGTGGATGAATTTGAGTCCACTGATTCAGTAAACGATCGATTAACACCCCATCAAAACCCCAGGAAATGAAGGTAAACGGTCATAGACAACGACGTGTCTTCACTTCACGGCTGCTCTGGAGCAGTTGGCAACTGAAACTAATTTTCATCGAAAATTCATCTTCAGCGACGAGGCCGATTTCTGGATTAATGGGTATGTAAACAATCAAAATTGTCGAGTTTGGGAGGATACCAATCCACTTGAGATCCAAGAGTGTCCAATGCATCCCGATAAAGTCATTCTTTGGTGTGAATTTCTGGCTGGTGGCGTCATAGGTCCATATTCCTTTTAGAAAGATGTTGCCCAGTCAATCACTGTCACGTTAGTCTTTTTTTGTGTGGTTTCCTTAAGTCGCAAGTGTACGCGGCTTCCAAAGTCAGGGATATGGTGCACGTAGCGATCCTTCTATGATTAATGGAGATACGGCTCATTGCCCTTCTGACCGTTATCTCTATTTTTCTGTCAATGAATTCGGCATTTCTTCTATTTTCATTTGACGTGTTGTACGTGACGATCCGACTATTATTAACGAAGATGTGGCTTTATGCCCTTCTGGCCGCAATATTAATTTTTTCATTGTCGATGAATTCAGTATTTCTTCTCCTCTCGTTTGACGTTCTGTACATGACGATCTAACTATTTTCATATCATCAACGAAGAAGCGACTTATTGCCCTTCTTTATTTTTTCTTCGTCGATAAATTCTGTATTTCATCTCCTTTCATTTGCGTACTGCACGCAATGATGCGATTATTATTAACGAAAATATAAGTGTCCTCTGACTATAGGTTGAAAAACAATCCAAACAAATCAGTATCTGTTATTTTTGGAAGTGATAGTATCAGGAAAGAAGTAAAAAAGTACAGCTTGAAAATGGGAAACTCTGAGATACAATTCAGACCTTATTCAAAAAATTTGGGGTTGATTTCAAATCATAAACTAAGATTTCATGAACATATAACCTACAAACTTAAAATTGCTTATTCATCATTGAAACTCATATATCCCCATAGACAATATTTGGATGTAGATGTCAAGAAAATGCTATGTGATTCGTTAGTTTTATCTCATTTCAACCACTGTGACGTTGTTTATCATTCATGTTTAGACAAGAACGACAGGTCTTGCATACAAAAAGTTCAAAACTCTTGCATCAGGTTAATATTTGGTATCAGAATAAGGTCCAGAATTTCACACAAATTAGCAGATTTGAAGTGGTTGAATATGTTTAATCGTAGACGTCTTTATGCAACATGCATATTCTTCAAAATATTCAAATATAGGAATCCTCCCTACTTATATGAACATTTATTTGACTTATAGAACAGATATCCATAACCTGAATTTGGGTGTAAAAAGACAGTGCTAAACATTCCTGTACACAAAAAGGAAATATTCAAACGATCTTTTTCCTATAATATCTCCTCCACAATAAAGTATCTCCATAAATGGGAAAACAGCTGTTTTAACGTGTTAGAAACCGTTTTTTAAAGTAGGTTTAAACAGCATCTGTTCAGCACTCAGAATAACTAGGTCCGCGGCGAGAATTCTGAAAGGGGGAGGGGACATTAAATAAAGAAAAGCACTGTACTTATATTTATATATTTCAAGTTTCAGTTATGATTTACCTTTGTGTCATGTTCGTATTTAGTTATGCCAAAGTTAGTCCTTGAATTATTGTTTTTTCCCTGCTATAAAAATTATATGTTTCTTGGGAAAATAAATCATTAATAATATGTTTCAGGACAATTCATATACAAAACTTCGTATACTATATTTGATTTCATCTCACTGTAAAGTTCTCAGTTTACTATATAATTTAGATATAGTTATGTATAATTCTGACCGTACAGCCATAGAATAATTGTTTTCGATTTTCAGTCGGATCTTCGGCTTCGTAGCAAGAAAACCAAATGTGAGTAATCCAGACAACCAGTGCCATCTCTTCGCCGAGCTGGAACCAGAACAGCCCGCCACAGCGATCGTCAATTTCCTAAATAAAGTATTGACATCGACTGGAATCAAACCCAATATTGTATAGAAATAATTCAAAAGGAGGAGGATGAAAATATCACATCACAATCTAATTTATATCAAAATTGTTATTCAGTGTCTTCGAAATACTAAATGAGCGTAGATTATTGAAAACACATTTCCCAGTCATAAAATTTTAATTCCTAGTCCTGTTATTTGATAAAATTTGTAGGTTATTTTCACGATATTTTTGGTAATGCATTTGTGTTCTCATCATCTTGTATATACTTAATAACACTAAGTGTGCCTGACGACTTCTATATTTCCATTTTGTTTTAAAAATTGTTTTGATTTCTTGGTGAAGTGCTCTCAATATTATGAATATTAGCATTTTTCACGGCACATAATGATGTACAAGGATTCTACTGACCTTGTTAGTGTTTTTGTTATGAAAAATTAACAAAAATCAACACATTCAACCAATCAAATTCAGGTATTGTGAAGGATCAGTAGAGTTTCTATTATGTAGACCAGGATCGATACTTTTCGAAACCAAAAAAAAAATTATAGTAGGATGAAACCTACTGGAGAAAGAAGAGAATATAACAAGAATGAAAAGAACAATGAATTATGGTCGATTTGAGGTCGGTTTTCGGTTTTCTTTATCAAACTACAAGTGAAATAGCAAAGTTGTAAGTAATAAAAAAAACTTTAACTTTTGTATACACACTTTTTTTACCAAACCTCAAAATTTATGTGAAAAAATTAAATAACCAAGTTTATGGTTTTTCATTTGTTTTTCCACGAAATTTCGTGAAACGTCACCTTTTCATGTACCAAATACACTGTGATTTTTTGGATTTGAAATTCATTTTCGAAGAAGCACCTTAATTTTCAATCGAAAATTCACGTGTCAAAATATCTGCTTTTTTAAAAAAGTAGGTGAGCATTTTATTATCTGAAATCTCTACTTTCTGATTAAACGAATTATATTACAATACATAATGAAATTTGGTACAATCATGAAATACAAATCAATGCAGAGAACTGAGTTTATAATAAAAAGGAAGAAGAGAAAAATATCACCCCAATTTGTTGTTTCGTTCCCTTCCGTTCATAAAAGAGGACATATGCCTCATCACTCACAAGCGATTTTGGTAAAATTGGGGACACGTGTGAATCATTATATTCATGCCACGTGCCACTATATGGGTGTCTGTAATATGCTGTGTAATACCTGTTATAAGTGATTCGAAAGTGCATATAGATTGTAACAGCAAGGAGCCACATTGTCTACTGCATAATTGCTCATATCTTATCCATCTGAAGAAAAATCAATGGAAACATTTAATCTGCCTCTGAATCTTTCAGTTGGAGAGAATCTTTCCGAATGAATTTCTAAAACACGTGGAAATTTATAGATTGATAGGGACTTCTTCTTCTTTGCTTGCACCTCGGACACGTTGGTTTTTCATCTCCATCCAGAGCTTCCTCTCTTGTGGAGGAATCCAAGCAATGTTCAGTTCTTTGTGGTATAAGGAAGGGACAAGTCCCAGAAAGGATCGAAGGTTACAGTGTATAAACTTCATAGTGGATTTTAATTGACCAATGAAATTGTCTACATTCTAAGAGTTGTTCATATTCAAATATCTCAGCCAGGACTCTTGTGCTTTTCCGGTGTCGCTCAATTTTTCGTCAATCTCCGTTAAAATCGGTTCAGGTTTCTTAGTAATTCTGTTGAGGTCCTCATGTAAACCTTCTAGAAGATATCGAAGGAATTCGTGGGCCTTGATGGACAGAACCCATGAATCGAGGGGCAAATCTTTGAATCTGACTTTTGAAGTAGACTGTGTTAATTACTCTATCAGATAAATCTTGTGACCACAATTAATTGATAACTTTGATAACGCTTTGATTTAAAACACGTTTCATACTAGAAATAACTAGTGTTGATATTTTCCATGTATGTATCCTCTTTCAAGTATTTCAGCAACCATCCCATGTTTGATAAACATTGGATTACACTGTTCATGAAACAGGTGATTCCAATATTTTTTAACCTATAACACCCAAGAGTTCTGACTGAAGAATGTATCATCGATCTATTGTTGTAACTGTTGCCACTTTCTGATAGTATAAAAAATATACGTTACTGTGCTAAATGTTCTCTGAAATGCAAAAACTTTAAAAAACTCGAATCCTAAAAATTTTGTCAATCGTTATGTTCAGTTTTGAGGAATTTATTGCAATTAACACTTTAATTACTTGTATAACGTAAGATTCCATGTAACATTCATGAACAAATAAATTAAAATTCCGTAAAACTTTAAGATTGCAAAAAAACGAGAAAATAGTTGTTCAAAATATTAAAGATTGGATTTAAAAGGAATTTCATCTGAAAAATGTGACTGCTACATTTTTTTAGTGAAAGAGCTAGTTAATTGATTTCTAATTAAATTTTTTCATAAAAAATCTAATAATATATGAATCCCCATACCTGTGAATCGTACTCTTGCAGTCAGATATCCATTCATAATAATAGTTTTCAATACATTAGCTTTTGTCTCTTTGATGCATTCCTTCGTCATTAGACTCGACAAACCTTTTCGACTCTAGCAGATCTTCGATATCCTCAAAACCATTACCGTCTTTGTCTCCGATATTATTTCCAGCCTGCATTGCTTCTTCGTTGACAAGTCCACCTTAATCATCAACTTCTTCGTAGGCTTTTTTCCACATTGGAGTATTTTTCAGAGCCATGAAAATTTGAGCATGAATTTGTGCATTTCAAACCATGTTTTCCTGTAAATATGGGCTTAATGTCACCTTGATGTTGCATCAAGCCCCAATCTATTGCTGTCAGTTCTTTACCCAACCAAGTTTGAAGCTTATAATATGCCCTGTAACAATGTTGTTATGCTGCTCCTACCGTGGGTGGGAGATTTGCCAATATGAAAGATAATTTAATTTTTGCCAAATTGATTCAGTGTTGTATTATCATTTTCACACTTACAAGTAATTTTAATCCATTATTTTTCTTTATCTTCTTTGTTTGCATCTTTTTCATCAAAAATATTAGTCAAATTTGACAAATTTTCAGCGACTAATAATGTATTTACGATACTTTTCTTTGCCTTTCCGGGAAATCCAGATGTTGAATCGGAACCTGAAAAACAATCTAGAAAAGCAACGATATTTTTGAATAGATTCATATTTAAAACTATTAGACATGAAAAATTGGTCTTTCACACTTCCAGAACCTGTCCCAAAAAAATAAATGTCACGATTATTTGAATTTAATCGATTCATGTAACATGTAATCTCCCGTTATACGAGTAATTAAAGTGTTAATTTTGTTAAGTAGGTCAAAATTTTACATAACGGTTAAAAAAAATGGGATTCGAGTTTTAGTTTTTTTTGCATTTCGTGAAAATGATTACCATAGTAACGTATTTTTTTACATCATCAGAAAGTAGAGATTTCAACGAACAAAAAACCCACCGGTTTTTTTAAAAGCAGAAATTTTGACACGTGCTTTTTCAATATTAAATCGAAAAAAGGTGAGAATTCAAATATTCCAAATCCAAAAAATTACAGGGTATTTGGTACATAAGAAGCTTTCACTAAATTTCGTGAAAATGTTTTATAAAAAATAAAAATAAACAACCAAATTGCATTTCATTAGTTCGAACTTCCATTGTCTGATATGATATAAAATGATTTGAAATTCCCGAAAGAATCAATAAAGTTAAAAATATTAGCTAAAAAAATAACAATTATATCGAGCATAACAAGTGAAATCACAATGAAATAAAATACAAGCAACAATTGGTGAATTGAACAATTAACGAGAAATGAAAATTTAAATTGAAAGATTTCATGAAAATTTAGTTCACTACGTTTCGACTGTTCATATCCACATTCCATCTTCAGGTGATTTCGAGAGATTTCAAATCACTTTATATCATATTAGACAATGGAGGTCCGAAATAAATTATTTATTCACTTATTTGATTTCGAACAAACTGGCCAGGACGGCCCTATTACATGGTTAACTACTATACATAATACTTAAGGTGTAATAATTGAACTACGAACTTAAAGTATAAGCATAATATGTATCAATCTATTCCCGGTGAATTGAAGGAGTTTGTACTTAATCTACAATAAAAATATTGGAAATATCGAAAAATCCATTACATTCCATAAGGAGCTGTCCAGAATGTGATTAATAATTACTGCATGAAAGACTTTAGAGTTTAGGAGATAGGATTTCTTCTTTGGTCCAAGGATATTATTTTGAATTAATTTCTAAAATTGGTTGATCCAATTTTAGTCAGGCCACGATCGGTATATTCTATAATACAATATTCTTGAAAATTTATTCTGTACTGTCTCTATTTCATGTAATAAAGAAATGAAGTGCACCATGAAACATTGTCAACCATCTTCAACCAAAAAACCAAATTGTTTGAATTTTTCACATGAGTTTTGAAGTTACGTGAAAAAAGTGTGAATACAAAAGTTGTAGACTTTTTCTCATATGACTTGTACTTTTGCCGAAAATCGAGATAAACCGATTTTTATCCTCAAAAACTCACCTCCTTCCCATTTCTCGACCTCAAATCGATCGTATTTTTTTAAATTTTTGTTGTATTATCTTCCTTTTCCAGTGGGTTTCATTTTACATTATTTTTTTTTACTTTTTGCCTTTTTTTAAAGGCTTCAGCACTGGTCTATATTTTCGACTTCAATTTTATTTTGCACAGTACGAAAACTTCTGTCTCGAAGAAAAAATGTTTTTAATTTCCAACTTTGAAAACATTCACGGGAAGGATGTATATAGATAAATTTTTTGAATGTTTCGGACTCATCAAAAGTACTTTGGCTCGCTGATGATGTTTCTTCGACTCAGACACTTTTCGATCTCTGTGTGTGATTTTTTATCATGTTCATTCATCACACTAACAAAGTCTTATGTTTCGGAGCGGATGGTAATTCTGTCACATGAAATATATTTATTCGATCATATTTTAACATGAATCTCTAATTCAAATCAAAGCTTATTAACTATATAACGGATAATTGGTAGATATGTATTCGCCATTTTCATGTAATCAATTGTGTTTCATCAATAGTACAAAAATAATTTTAAAATCGTCATCAAAGTGACTACAATCAAATCTGTTGAGTATCGTATCAGATTCATAATAATAAACTGTTATCTTATAATAGAGATATAATGAAGGTGTATTCAGAGAAATATATTGAAATATAAATACTAATTGAAATTTCTATTTTTTTTTATTTCATAATTTTCCAAACACGCCTCGACTGATTATGAAATGATTTCACTAATTCGTTCTTGACACTTCGAAATATTGCTTGCGTCTGCCGTAGTAGCAGACGAAATGATCAGAAAAATAAGCGATAACATCGCTTGTTAAAAAAAAAAAAAAACTTTGACGTGGCTTACGGAAATAATATCGATTGAAGCGAATTCCTTGAAAACAAAACTTCAGTGTTGTATAGATCACGAGTATATACTCCGTGGACTCAAAAGTTCGTAGGCTAACACACAGATGGCGCTGCTAGTATTGAATTCATATGATTTTCAGTTAACCCTAACCTTCAAAAGACACGTGTACAAATTTCACAGCTGTCCGACTAGTCCGGGATCCCTCGCCCTTTTTCGTTATTTATTACTAACAAGCTAATTTTCCGTGAGTAGCTTCATTTTGACAAGACGCCCATTATTTGTCAGTACAAAAATTTCGTAAGTGGTAGCTAACAGGAGTAAGAACGTAATTTGTTGATTTGGCGGTTTTCAAAATTTCGTTACTAACTGGTTTTTTTTTTCATCGTAATTCTGAAGATAATTATCATTCTTCACAGAAGTTATTCCTGCATATGCTGTTGGTAATACAACTGTCGAACTAGATTTTCAATTATCATCGACTTTATGTTGAATATCAATATTGGATTTTCCGGAATTGAATAGAATTTCAATTATTGATCTGGGCAGATAATAAATTGATCAATTGATCCAGTGGACTCTCCTGAGTTTGTGATTCTCGAATAATATTAGTTATCCACCGAATGTTATCATTCGGATCGTTTAGATAAAATTCAATATCATTATGACCCCAAGGAAGAGTGTAGGTAGTATTCGGAATGATAAATCGTTTATCGTCGTGATATGATAATGCAACTTTATTCTTCAATTCAGTATACATATCATGCAACACGCTTCTAAATGAATTCATCTTTCTGAATAACATACCACCATGTTCCACGATTTTTTGGTAATCGTCACATGTCAATTCATTCTTTACAACCGATCGTTTCACCCCTTTAGCTTTCTTAACTTCACCAACAACAGATTTCACATAATACGCTTTTGCACCTGTACCATAAAAGCTCATGATTGGATCATTCGGAAATTCGTCTTTGAAGTTACCCAAGATTGAACTTGTTACTGAAATATTGAATTGGTTATCTATACTGTAATTGGATGTATCAAACCTACTCATGTTAGTTTTCATGAATTCATAAAAATTTTCTGTATTTACTTTCAAAATGAGTGAGTCGTTATCTGTGTACAGTAAAGAGACATTTCCACCAAAGAGTTGTTTGGTGCATCCATCGAAAAAGTCGTACATGACTGTTTTTGGTAATTCTAATATAGAAAATCCCAAATATAATGGTTTATCATAATGGACTTTAACTTTACCCAATTGAATGGTAATGAAATTTTCTGTGAAAATTGAACAATTTTTGAAATTTGGTCTAAATATGAGAGTGCTAGCACCTATATTTTCCTTTACATTTTCCCAATATATAAGAGTCTAACATCAATTATATTATCTACATTCTCCATTGTCTCTCCATATACCGCATTATTCATTAGTTTATAGAAATCTTTAACAGATTTGTTGTTAGACCTTTTACGCATTTCAGTATTAAGATCTTTATAGGTTTTCATCCAACGTGATTATTTGAATTTCAATACTCTATGTGTATTCATAACAATCAAACCATTTTTGATGGCTTGCTGTAGATTTCTATAATGAACAATATATTTTCTTTCATCATTCAAATTTGTAATTAATTTGGGAATTTTCGATTGTGTACGAGGTGGTATTAATTTTTCAACTAAAAATGGAAGATCAGAATGTTCATCATGCAACTCTTGTGGATGATGAATGTCCACTTCAAACACATACCCATACGGACTATCAGAACTCACATTCATCACATCAAGGTTAGGAATTTCATTAGGTGTCAACCATATAAATTCACTTGTTGGTAGAGGTTGTGACATGCTATGACCGTATAGATTC